AAAGACCTGGCCTAAGGGCTCAGCGTTGTTAATTGTTGCTTGCAAGACTGAATGCCATAGCCCTTGACGCCACAGCTGATTTCCAGAGAGCAGAGACAACGCCGTGGGAGGGGGAGGGAGGCCAGGTGGCCAGGAGAAATTCACTTGAATAGTCTCTGGGTCATAAGCATAAGCACAAAACGTCTGTGGGATGTGTGTGTGTGTGTGCGCTGACTGCATACATGTATGCACATGTGTGCATAGGTGCTTTGTATTGGGGTTATGCTTGTGTTGGGTACGTGCATGTATGATGTGTGGCGTGCATGCAAGTGTGCATGTGTGTTGCGCATGTATGTGTACTGTGTGCATACACATTGCACATGCATGTGTTGTGTGTACATGTGTGTTGCATGTGTTGTGAGTGCACCTGTGTTGTGTGTTGTGAGTGCATTTGTGTTGTGATTGCATGTGTCGTGTGTGCACATGTGTTGCATGTTGCAAGTGCATGAATGTTGTGTGTTGTGAGTGCATGTGTTGTGTATATTGTGAGTGTGTGAGTGTTGTGTATGTTGTGAGTGCATGTGTGTTGTGAGTGCACATCTGTTGTGTGTGTTGAGTGCATGTGTGTTGTGTATTGTGAGTGCATGGGTGTTGTGTATATTGTGAGTGCATGTGTGTTGTGAGTGCATGTRCGTTGTGTATGTACATGTGTATTGTGTGTGTTGTGTGTGKTGTGTGTTGTGAGTGCATGTGTGTTGTGTGTTGTGAGTGCAYGTGTGTTGTGTTGTGAGTGCACGTGTGTTGTGTGTTGTGAGTTCATGTGTGTTGTGTGGGCACATATGTGCATGTGTGGCATGTGGGTGTGTACATGTCCTTTGAAGCACAGTGACTCCTGAGGCAGGTGTCTTCCCCATGGCTGGTCCAGACAGGCTGCGACTGCCATCGGTTCCATTTGTTGAGATGCTAAGATGGGGCAGGGGAGAAACGGAGCTGGGAGAGTAACATTTTCTGTTATGTTTGGGCGGCCTTAGTTTGGATTCCCCCCACAAGCAGATCCTCTGAAAAGAGCAGAGCTGCACATCATTTGTGTGGGAAAGCGATCTCAGGGACTAGGAAGAAGTGAGACTGGGGAGGGAAGCCCAGCCCAGAGTATGTTCTGGAGCTGATCCCTGCTGTGAACATCTGGGCTCCGTCTTGCTGGGAAGTGGGAGGGGACAGGATCACCACCAACTTCCACCCCCAACCAAGGGCTGCTCGGGCGTGTCAAGTCTTTTGCTCTTCCAGGTGTACGATGGCTCCCCCCTGACGAGTGAGTGGGTGGGCTCCTGCAGGTGTCACAGCTGCAGCAGCCAAGTCGTCCTGAGAAAGAAGCAAGAGGTGTGTGCAGCCCCAGGCTGGAGGTGGAATCAGCCCCTCCTGTCTGCAGCTGGTTACCACAGCAACAGCTGGAGCAAAAGGGTGGACTGAGAGGATGTGAAGTGGTATGTAAAAATGTCCCGCACAGCATCCAAAAGAGATGTCCTGGAAATAGTTGGCTATCTGAGCCTGGAGTTCAGAGGTAGAGCTGAGCTATTGGTATAGGCATCATCAGCATAGAGATGATACAGCTGTGGGACCTCAACTAGAGGAATATCAAAGATGAGCGTCTAAGGGTGACCTCTGAGCTGCCCCTTCTGAGAGGGGTGAGGAGGAAGATCCAGTAAAGGAGTCAATCTGAATGGAGCAGAAGGAAAACCAGGGAAGTGGGTGTGATGAAATCCTCAGAAGGCAAACCAGATGAGGATGTAAAAATCATCAATGGGTCGCAGATGGGCTTGATGAGAGTGGCTTCGGTGCTGTAGTGGGGAACATCTTGATTGCAGGTGTGGACAGAAGATGGAGATTGCTTTTAAGATCCAGGCTCTCACAGGGAGCAGGCCAACGAGGCAGGAAGGAGGAGGTGCTTTTTTTTTTTCCAAATGGTATTTTCAATATCTCACCAAAAAATATTTGAGTAACCATCTCCGTGTGGATTGCATCTTGTTACTAACAGCACAGAGAATTACAAATTATGTTACTTCCAAATTAACCAGAAGCAAGGCTGGTTCAACATACGCAAGTCTATAAACGTAATTCACCACATAAACAGAACCAAAGACAAAAATCACATGATTATCTCAATTGATGCAGAGAAGGCCTTTGACAAAATCCAAATTAACCAGAAAAGAGAAGAGGAGGAAGATGAAGATTAGACATCGTTTATCCAGAATATTTTGTATGAGTTCTTGAATAAGACTTGGAAACTAAGCCAAAAAAGAGAGAGAACAGAGGCTGGACATCTGCTGCGAGGCTGAGGGGGAAAGTGATTCCATCTCAGTACTCACGATCACATTTCCATTCCGTGTTGTTAGCGTAATTTATGTATTTTACAGTTGAGGAAAGTGAGTCTAGAAAAGTTTTATTACTAACTCATGTTCACCCAGATGAGGGCTGGAGAGGTGATCTGAACCCAGCTCCATGGGACCTGGGAGTCTAATTGCTTTCTGGGACCACAGCGTCATGCAAAGGGCAAGGGCTAAGGTACACCATGGTGAGTGGCAGGCATGGACGGAAGGGGAGTAGCTCATTCTCTAGGAGGAGTTTCTCTCTGTAGGAACTCAGGTTCTGGAAGGTTCCCGTTCAATTTTCCAGAATCATGGATAACCATTTTAGTTTTCTGCCACTGAAATTCCTGTGATGGGGCTGGCTCTTATGAGTGGCTTGCGCCACCGTGACACCGTGCAATGGAGAGTGAAGAGCTGGCGCTGGACACAAACTCCTCTCAAAGCCGTTTCTCCGTGTTCCCTGTCCTCCCATCCCCCTTCTGTTCGTTCTGTGGAGGACCTAAGCTCAGGCTCTGAGGATAATTTGTGAAAACAAAAGAAATGGGCAACAGTTTGTGTAAGTTTCCCATTTATTTTTCCTTTTTCCATCACAAATGCTCCCGGGGTAGTGTTGAATGATGATATCTCATCTAACCATTTGCAAGTAGCAGCAATAGATAAAATAGAGATGGAGAAAACACCCAACAGAGTTGTATTCTATTATCGACGTGGCTGCCTGGAAAAATTGGTGCATATCTTGGTTAAAGTCTTGAAAACTGAGGAAAAATTAAGTTCAGCATACTCTGGGAAAACAGTCTGTCTCCATTTTGAATAACTACTACTTACTGACCATGACCTTGAGATGACCAGCAGATGTCAGTATAACGTAGGTCTAGCAGGAGCCTGTGTCCAAACAATGAGGTCAGCGCTGGTGAGAACTTACTCTCGGACATCAAAGACCGCCAAAATAAAGGAATGGCCTAGACCTGCAAAACCATGATGCGTTGCATTCTTCCTTAGGCTATGGTGTGAATAAATACTTGAGGAAAATGGCTTCTTAGTTCAAAGAAAATGCAAGAAACGTTCAAGGAAATGAAGAAAAAAGAAAGCAAGTATTTACTTGGGTTAGCCTTCTTTAAAGACCATAAGGTATAGATAGGCTAATGCATAGAAATCTGATACAATATGATATTCTAGAACATTCTAGAGCTACGTTGATGGGTATAAATAGCTCCCACAGCATATTGTGGATATTTTTTAAATTTGGCATGTATAATGTGATTCTACTTATAGAATGTTATACATTCTATACATTTTAATTTAAAAAATAGAATTTGATTTGTAAAAAAATATTTTTTAAAAAAACAAATTGCATGGTCTGTCCCACTCAAAGTTACACCTCTGGGCAATTTTTACACTTTCTTTGTGGTTGTAAGAGTTTCATCGTGGTCATTCTCGGTCGCCATCTCTTTCTGAAGTTAGAAAGGTGGTAGACCAGTTGTTACCTTTACATCTTGTCCCATGCTTTTTGTTTTTTAGTAGAGACAGGGTTTCACCATGTTGACCAGATTGGTCTTGAACTCCTGACCTCAGGTGATCCACCTGCCTTGGCCTCTCAAAGTGCTGAGATTACGGGCTTGAGCCATTGCACCTGGCCCCACACTTCTTTATCTTAGATTTTTCTAGCCCAGCCCAAAGGGAACACATGCTTGAGAAAGGCTTATAAAAAGATAAATAAGACCTAATCATTGTCTTCATAAGAATTTACTCTCCTTGGGGAACAAAATACACACATAAGCAGTTCTGGTGAATATGGTTAGTGCCATTCCTACGTGGGATACACTACTCCTTCCTCCTCCTTGCCCAACCAACTCCAGTTTTGCAATTGGCTCTTAGCTTAAGCATCAGCTCATCCAGGAAGCCTCCTGGATCTCCACATTGCCTGAGGACTGCCTTTACCCTTGCATGTGCTTTTCTGCCCCAGGGCCGCCTTCTCCTTCCGCGGGATTGCATGCTAGAACAGGGTCTCCCTGAATGTCAACAAATTTGTGTGTCCAGAGCAGCCCTTTATCAGTGGTGGGTGGGAGGTGACGGCTAAACACCCAGCTTCTACCTTCTTGCCAGGACAGCCTGGGGACATGTACCATATATGCAGCCTCCCAGACGTCCCCAGTGGGGTTGGGCCCAGGTGCCCACTGTGCACTCTACATAGGTTCCTTTCTTTCTCTATCTCATTCCCCCCGCTCCTCCGTGAGTATTTCTTGGCTCTTGTCCCAAATTAACTGCTGTGCTCAACTGCTTGTCTCCAGGTTTGCCTCATGGAATCAATCCTGGAACAGCACTTACCAGGCTGCATTATACTTGCTTGCTTTCTGTGTCTGTTCCTTTAGCCTACGAGCTCCATGAGGACAGGGGCCACATCTGTGTCTAGCTCTGTCTCTGGATAGACTCTGAATGGATCTTTATTAACTCATCAAGTCTCATCTGGATTCTGGGTATAATTAGCTGCATAAAAGGAGGGGAGCTTGCATGTCCCAGGCTTTCGCCTTTGGCCTAACAGATTGAAGAAGAGTTTTGCTCAATATCCACTTCTAAGAAGAGGTGGCCAACACATTCTAGGTTTATTTTATTTTATTTTTTGTTTTTTTTTTGGTTTTTTTTTTTTTAACTCCATTAAAATCCTCTGTTGGGAGGAAGCATTTTAATCCGAGGTAGGGGATGGTAACACTGTACAGGGAGCACTCACAGCTCCAAGAGTTTCCCTTCAAATTATGAAGAAGCTCCTGTAAATAACTAGATTTCCTACGACCTGGTCCTCTGCCAGTGGGAAGGAGGGGAAATGAATGTGAAAAGCATTGTGGTCTGCCGTCTGGTCATTCATAGATCCAGTTCTGAGCACAGCTCTTGAAATCTACCGGTTCCTCAGGGTGAAACCATAAGCCGATCTTCTCTGCACTCTCCACGGAATCGCTGCTGTGTATAATGTTCCTGCCGACTTGTATGCAGAAGTCTCCACGGATGGTCCCAGGCTTGGAGTCCACAGGATTGGTCTCTCCGAGCATGACTCAGCCTGTCTTCACCATGTTCAGCCCCTCCCAGACCATGGCAACTACCGGCCCTGAGTGCATGTATTTCACCAGGCCAGCAAAGAATGGACGGTCCTTCAGGTTGATGTAGTGTTCCTTGAGAAGGTCTTCAGAAGCTTGCATGAATTTCAGACCAACAAGGCGGAATCCCTTCTGCTCAAAATGCTTGATAATCTCTCCCACAGGACCCCGCTGGACCCCATCTGGTTTGATCGCAATGAAGCTACGCTCACAGTTGGCCATGGTCCCCTCCAGCTGCTTGGGTTTGACTCTAGGTTTATTTTAATCTGTGACTTCTCAGAACAATTTTCCTTTTTCATTATTCATTCCAGCCAACATCCTCTCTCTTCTGGTATTGGGTATCCCTTCCCCACATATCATCCTGAGAAAGCCAGGTGCATTCACACCACTGTGTCTGTGCAATTGCTGTTCATTTTCCTGGGATATCTCTCTTTTCCATGCCCCTTCCTTCCCTGGGTCTTCTGATTTCAGTTTCTTCTTCTAGGCTTGGAGTGTGCCCCTTTCCCTGGAAGAGACTTTGTTGCCAATGCTGCAAAAAAGGCAGCCAACTCCTGGGGACAAAACCATGAATGAAGAAAGTCTCTTCCAGGGAAAGGGGCACAGTCCAAGCCTGGAAGGAGGAGAAGAAATCTCCTCTGTGTTTATGATTGGGGAAGAGGAGCATAGTGTCTAAGAAGGCAGATCCTGGAGCCCAGCTGTCTGAGTCCTAATCTCAGCTCTATCTCCCATCACCTGTTTGACTGGGGTAGATTACCGAACTTTCCTAGGCCTAGGGGTGTGTTTCTACAGAAAGCCTTCTTTAATGTAAGGACTTTGTCAGTTTCTCTTTGTAATTAAGAATCAGAAATTCTGGGGGTATGGGACAGGAAAGAGTGGCAATAAGAGATTAAAATCCATTAAGTGGAATGTCTTGATCAACAAGTGAAATGAGCTTCTGCAAACACACACACACACACACACACACACACGAGTGCGCGCACACACACACGTGCACACACATTCTCTGTTGAAATATGCAAATACTTTCACTTGGGTGTTTATTCCACATACTCCTTGCTCCCGCTGGTGGTCTAGTAATTTCATAGTAGGCACAGAGGGGTCTTTTTTCTGTAGAAGGCTGGCTCCCTCACAGCCTGGTTCTGTCATACCTGCTTTTCCTTCTTCTTGGAGCTGTCCCCTGAGGCATTCTCCTCCAGGTCCCATTCCCTGGGTCTGGTACCTTCTCTGGAAATGCTTCATTAATACTAAGGTCTGCAAAAGCTGGCTGACCTCACTGTGTCCCCCACACCCTGTGCCTGTCTGTGCTGTTGACTTTGACAGTAGCACTTTGCTGTAGTTGTTGATTTCCTCCTCCCTCTTTCTCCTTCCAGACGATTTCACTTTTCCTTCTGGTGATGATGGCTCAGGGTTTACAATGCAGCCAGCCTCCCATATCCACACATTCCACAGTCACAGATTCAACCAACCTCGGATCATAAGTAGTTAAAACATTACTACAGGATAATACACACTTTACAATTCAATGTAATGACCATTTACATATCATTTACGTTGTATTAGTTATCATAAGTAATCTAGAGATGGTGTAAAGTATTCAGGAGGATGTGTGAGGTTATATGCAAACCATACCACGTTACATAAGGAATTTGAGCATCTTTGGGTTTCAGTATCTGCAGAGGGTCTTGGGTCCAGTTCCCCATGGATATTGAGGGATGACTGTAGACACTCTAAACTTACAGTCTGCCTTCAAATAGATTATGTAATTTGTGTATAATGTATGTGTATAATGTAATAACCATATGGCAGTGTAATTCCATCCCTCCACTGTCTTTTCTGCTATTTATGGCATGCGTTTTACTTCTACAAAATGTTAAAACCCCACAATTGTTATTTTTGCTTTTAACAGCCCATTAACTTTTAAAGACATCATAAAAAAAGAAATTCTTTTATACCTACCCTCATTTTGAACTCATTTTTGCCATTTCTGGAATTCTTTATTCCTCTATACCTTTCTGAGTTTCCACACAGTATCATTTTATTCTGTGTGTAAAACCTCCTTTAATATCTCTGGCTGTTCAGGTGTGCTGATGAAATATTCTGCAGACATTTTTTGGGGAAAGAGGGGCTCTGAAAATGTCCTTTTTGCATGTCTATTTTTGAAAGGTTTTTTTGCTGAATATAAAATTTTAAGTTGTCAGTTTGTTTTATTCTTTGTGTTATTTAAAGATGTTTCATTGCATTGACCTATGACCTCCTTTTAGGTTTGATTAGGATAAAAGGAACATTCTTATCACTGTTCTCCACTGTGTAATGTCTCTTTTTTTCTGGATGCTTTTAGGATGACCTTCATCACTAGTTCTCAGAAATGTGATTATGATATATCTCAGTGTTTTATTTTTTTTGTGATATTCTGCCTGAGGGTTTGTGTGTGCTAATGTTTGTGTCCTCCCCAAAATTCTTACGTTGAAAACCTAATTACCAATATGACAGTATTAGGTGGTACCTCTGGGTAGCGGTTAACTCATGAGGGAAGAGCCTCCATGAATGGGATTAGTATCCTTATAATCCCAGACACTGAAGCCTTGATCTTGGACTTCTCTAACTCCAGAATTGTGTGAAATAAATTTCTGTTGCTTTTAAGCCACTCAGTTTGTGATCTTTTCTTACAGCAGCCCAAATGAACTGAGACAATGGGTTTCAATCTTTCATCAAACTTGAAAATATTTTTGCCATTATTTTAAAAAATATTTTTAAAAATTATTTTTATTTGGCCAGGCATGGTGGCTCACGCCTGTAATCCAAGCACTTTGGAGGCCAAGGCGGGTGGATCACCTGAGGTTGGGAGTTCAAGACCAGCCTGACGAACATGGTGAAACCCCGTCTTTAAAAAAAAAAAAAAAGAAAAGAAAAGAAAAAAAGATTAAAAAAAATATTTTTATTTACTCTTCTTCTGAGACTCCAATTTCTTGTCTACCGGACCACTCTATTTTGTCTCACAGTTGTTGAGGCCCTATTCATTTTTCTCCAGGCTTTTTTCTTCTCTGTTTTTAAGTTTGGATAGTTTCTGTTTCCCAGTCTTCAAGTTCAAGGAGCTTTTCTTATAGCGCAAACATTGCTGTTAGACCCAACCGGTGAACATTTTATTTCAGATGCTGTGTTTTTCTATTCCAGAATTTCCACTCTTCATTATGGATCCTGTTTCTTGATTGAGAGCCCTACATTCCCTCATCATGCTCATGTTTTGCTGTCTATGATCATACTTCTAATAGCTACTTCAAGGTTCTGGTTTGATACTTTTATACTTCTTATTGTGAATGGGTCTTTTTCTAATGACATTTTTCTCCCGGTATCAGGTCAATTGTCCTGTCTGCATGTCTAGTAAGTTTTTATTTTATGCTGGACATTGTGAATGGTAGCTTGTAAAGTGTGTGGATTATATTGTCTTCTTTGAAGAGTACTGAAGTTGTCTGTGTTTGAGTGTGTGTGTGTGTGTGTGTGTGTGTGTGTGTGTGTGTCTGTGTGTGTTTGGTTTTTGGTTTTGTTTTGAGACAGGGCCTCATTCTGTCACACAGGCTGGAGTGCAGTGGTGTGATCACAGCTCACTGCAGCCTTGAACTCCTTGGCTTGAGTGATCCTCCCACCTCAGCCTCCCAAGTGGTTGGCACTATAGGCACATGCCACCACCTCTGGTGAATTTTTATATTTTTTTTGTAGAGAAGGAGTCTTGCCATGTTGCCCAGACTGGTGTTGAACTCCTAAACTCAAGAAATCCAGCTGTGTCAGCATCCCAAAGTGCTGGGATTACAGGCATGAGCTACCACACTTGGCCTGAGTTTTGTTCTGGCAAGTAGCTAATTTCCTTGTATGTAGTTCAGCATGATTCTGTCAGTCTTATTTTTAAGCATGTTAGGGTGAGTATAGAGTAGCTTTTGCTTCACAGCTAGAGAACCACAGTTTCTGAGACATGGCATTTCTGAGGCCTCAACTGAGTTCTTAGGGTATTTTTGAGATCTATGAATTCTTGTAAGTTGGTACTCCTGTGTCACTTGACTCTTTGCAAGCTCTGGAATCTCTGTGTAGCTCTTTTCAGCCTCATCTCTCTGTGCCAAGGATAGCTGGTGGTTTATTGCTAAAAGCTTTGCCTGGCTTTATGAAATCTCATCCTCTATATCCCCAACTTACTATTTAGCCAGAGACTCAAGGAGACCCCTGTGTAAGTTTTTTCAACTCCTCTGTGAAGCTCCTCCAACCACGCCGTACTCTGTGCCATTCCTTCCCACAGTCTTAGCAACCAAATTCTGATCTTCGTCTTCTCCACTCAGCTCGGCACGATTACTATGCACTCCTATGCGCTGGTTTACAGTGGATGAAGAGTCTTTTACAGGTAAAGAAAGTGGCACACTCCAACCCTGGAAGGAGGAGCAGAAGATGGAGGATCCAGGGAAGAGGAGTGGGGGACGGGGACATCCCAGGCAAAATAAAAATAGGCATGGACTTGCCTTCCCTATACTATGATCCAGAAAGTGCTCTAAGTCAGATAACTGGGCAAATCAAATCATAGGGCTTATCTCATTTTGCTCTCTAAGAGGTCATAGTACTGCCACATCTGATGTCCTACATCTTCAAGCAGTTGTTTCACATATTTTTCCCATTTTCCATTGTTTATGGGGGAAGGGCTGCTCTGTCACCAGTTACTCTGATTGGCTTCTCTGGATGTTGAGAGGAACACAGGGGAGATGGGAGGTGAGAGTTCAGTCTGTGCACCCCCAGCTCTCCACAGTAGGCACCGGCTCACAGTAGATGCCTGTAGCAGTTTCAAGAATGGGTCCCCCAAGATGTCTACATTCTAGTTCCCAGAACCTATGGGGATGTTATCCTCTATGGCAAAAGGGACTTTGCATATTTGATAAATTAAGGATCTTGAGATGGAGGAGATGATTCTGGATTATTTGAGTGGGCTCAGTGTCATCACAATGTCCTTAGAAATGGCAGACAACAGTGACACCAGCCGAAACAGGAGCTGAAGGATGGAACCAGAGGTTGGAAGGGTGCACTTGGAAGATGCAGGAAGGGGCCATGAGCCTCATAGGTCCCAGAAAAAATGAGGAATATATTCCTCTGTAAAGCATCCAGAAAGAGCCTGGCTCTGCCAACACCTGGATTTTAGGCTTCTGACTTTCCGGACTGTAAAAGGACATATTTTGTTGTTCAAAGGAACTAAGTCTGTAGCAGTTTGTTACAGCAGCCAC